ATACAATTGTAAAACAATTATACTCCAAAAAAAATGTTTAAAAAAAAACAAGTTTACCCAAGATTTAAAAAAAAAAAAAAAAAAAGACAAGAGATGAATTTATGCCACAGGCCACCTGTCTTATTTAAATGGCCCACATGGGCCCCGTCTTCCTTCTAGCGGGTATGACACAGAAGTACTGGTAATAAGGCCTCTGCATGTCAACACACATATCAGTTCTGGACAGGGTTGAGGTGAGCAGCAGAAACCAGGCCACACACCCATTACTGAGGTCAAGCTGAGTGCCACTTGGACACGAGCCCCAAGCAACCATCCCATGCAACATCAATACTTTCCTAGGACACTGTGACCCAGAACTAGCTCTCATCTGCTACCTTACCAGACAAACCAATACACCCCTGGAAAACATGCAGGAACAAGGTTTGGGAAGATGTTCTGAGGACTGTTCAAAAGGTATATGAGGCATACAACAGCTGCTGACACAGTGTCACTGAGCTTCATTTGATTGTAACTGGAAAGTCTGTGATGTCTCTACACCCTGCAAAGCCCTTTCCCGCCACAGTCACATCTCTCAAACCAACCCTATCAGGTTCACAGAGGGGGCATCACCCTCACCATCCCCATTTATAGATAAGAAACTGATTCACACAACTCAGTAGCATAAATCAAAATCCAAATAAGCTTAATTCGGGGGAACCTTAGAATTGTATTTAATTTTTTTTCTGTAAACTTCATTATATGTGTGAATAAAAGCCACCTCTCAGGACATTTCTATTTGTCTTCATCATTAAGTGAAACTAAACACAGTGCTATGCACTTTATACACTTTAAATATAATTTGGTATCAATAACCACACCCTCCAAGCATGTGGGTTGAACTGATTTTAAAGCATGTCCATTTTTAAATGGTTTCTGAATCATACCTCCCACCAGATAATAGAATATAACCACCCTGACCCACCTTTGCCATCAGATCCCTCTCTCTTCTTTCTGCATTTCTCCGTAGAGCTGAGAGTTCCAAGATTTCCTTATTCAGAAATTTATTTTGCGTTTTGTACCCCTGTAGATTATCCTGTTGCAAAAAAAAGGTCCATCAATTCACATTGGTTGAATGTTGATTAATTATTCTATATCAGCGGTCCCCAACCTTTTTGGCACCAGGGACCAGTTTCACGGAGGGCAATTTTTCCACAGACCGGGGGGTGGGCGGGATGGCTTTGGGACGATTCAAGCGCTTTACATTTATTGTGTACTTTATTTCTATTATTATTACATTGCAATATATAATGAAGTAATTACACAACTCACCATGATGCTGACAGGAGGTGCAGCTCAGGCGGTAATGTGAGCGATGGGGAACAGCTATAAATACAGATGAAGTTTCGCTCGCTCTCCCACTGCTCACCTCCTGCTGTGCGGCCTGGTTCCTAACAGGCCATGGACCGATACCAGTCCGTGGCCCAGGGGTTGGGGACCCCTGTTCAATATAATTAATATTTTGCTGCCTCACCAATCAAATAGTCCTGCTAAGTTAGAAGAAGTTCTAAGGAAATGAAAGCTGATTACTAGACACTTTCTGATTAAGCTTTGAGGCTACCCTCGGCAGTAGAAGGTAGGCAGGGACTACTGCTGTAATGAAGGAGATGGGGAAATAAATTTATTTAATGGTGGTGATTTTTCTCACCTGTCCTTAGGAAAAGTAAGTAGGACTTATGTCCTAAATCTATGCAAATATCTTATCTACCCACATTCATTGGGTACAAAAGGTAATGCCTTACATTCATTTGGTTTTTTAAATAGAAAAACTGAACAAATTTTCTGTAGATTCTCATTTTTACTTATCCAGTTTATGTGGAAGAGGCCACACACATACACAGTGCCCTTACCTAAAGAATTACACTTAATAATGAATACCTATAACCTACAAAGTACAAGGCACCTAAGAGAACATGTTCCTCAACTTTTTTACATTAAAAAATTTCAAACTTATGAAAACCTTGAAAGAAAAGTACAATAAACACAATACACCCTTCACCTAAATTTGCCAATTGTTAACTTTTGCCACACTTACTTTCTGTTTTTAAGAGAACATCACAAGCTGGTGACACGTTCTGCCAAGTCCAACTAAAAGTTCAGCCCTGGCAGAAGCGGGTGCCATACGTAACCTTCAGCCCTTGACACTCTGAGCAAGGCAAGCGAAAGGGAACCTTCGAGACAACTGGGGCAGTGATTTCTAAATGCTCCCTACCAAATTCAGTCTTTTACAAATGTCTTTTTCCCCTACTCTGTTTGAAGTTTTCAAGGTATTTCTGATCCCTCAATCACAGGAGAAACTGTTCACAACAGCTCCAAGAGAAGGCCAGGGGTGGTCAAGAAAGGCACTGACTCCTGTACTGTCCCAGGGCAGAGACCATGGCCCCTCCCCAGAGATGTGTCCAGAGACATGCCCCAATCTCCAAACTAGAAGCCACCATGGCGGCACATAATTTCCCCTGAAAATACAGAAGAACTGAAAATGTTCCAACAGTCCCTTTAATCGCTGACACCTATAGAGCACTTGCTATGGGGTTACAGGTGCCCTGTGCTAGGCACATGAGGTCCTCGATCCCATTTAAACCTCACAACTCCTCAGCAGCCACTCTCGGCATCTCCATCTCCTAGGTGAAGAGGTGAGCCACAGGGAGGCTGCACAACTACTAAGTGTCGGGCTGGGAGCCAGGCCGGCTGCGCTCTTGGCCCAGGTGCTTGGCCCCTGACGCCCACCTGAGCTCTGATACGCATCACACCTTCTCAGTCTCAGCAAGACCGCATGTCATGACAAGCATTGAAGACAGGCACTGTCAAACCCCAAAGGAGGTCCACAGACTTCCTTTTCTGATCAGAATCATGATGTTCTCCTTTCTCCTGGCGTCTTGAAGCTCTCTTATTTGGAAACAATGAACAAACATGTTACTAAAAGGCAGGCTGATTGAAGGAAGGTGAGCTACAGGGCAACTAAAGAATACACCGGGCCATGACGGACAGAGACTGAGCAGCACAAGGTGGGTCGAGGGAGCAGGACACCACAGTGTGCCATCTGTGTCTTTGAGTCAAACTTTGCATTACAGTCTAAGGAAGTCCTGATAATGTATCTCAAGGATTCTTTCTCTAAAAAGGGAACCCTCTTGCACTGTTGGTGGGAATGTAAATTGATACAGCCACTATGGAGAACAGTATGGAGGTTCCTTAAAAAACTAAAAATAGAATTACCATATGATCCAGCAATCCCACTACTGAGCATATACCCAGAGAAAACCATAATTCAAAAAGAAACATGCACCCCAATGTTCACTGCAGCACTATTTACAATAGCCAGGTCATGGAAGCAACCTAAATGCCCACTGACAGATGAATGGATAAAGAAGTTGTGGTACATATATACCATGGAATATTACTCAGCCATAAAAAGGAACGAAATTGAGTCATTTGTTGAGACGTGGATGGATCTAGAGACTGTCATACAGAGTGAAGTAAGCCAGAAAGAGAAAAAGAAATATCGTATACTAACGCATGTCTGTGGAGCCTAGAAGAATGGTACAGATGAACCAGTTTGCAGGGCAGAAGTTGAGACACAGATGTAGAGAACAAACGTATGGACACCAAGGGGGGAAAGCAGTTGGGGGTGGTGGTGGTGGTGTGATGAACTGGGTGATTGGGATTGACATGTCTACACTGATGTGTATAAAACAGATGATTAATAAGAACCTGCTGTATAAAAAAATAAATATAATAAAATTCAAAAAATTTTTTTAAAAAAAGGATTCTTTCTCTAGAATGATGATCACAGCAAGTTAAGACTCTATGAGGTGCCAGGTGCCCTGTGAGGACTTTACATGGAATACCTCTTTTAACCCTTACAAGACCCTATGACCCTATGAGGTAAGCGCCATTTCACAGATGAACACTGAGGCAGAGAGGTGAACCAGCCTGCCCAAGGTCAGAGGTCATAAGTGGCAAAGCTGGGTTTGAACCCAGCCAGGTCTGACTCCAGAGCCCATGCTCAGTCTAAACCGCCACCCCATACTGGGACACATCCCCTTCCTCATTGATGTTTGTCACAGTTGTGATTCTGCTTTTTTGTTTTTGTGCTTTATAAACTAAACTCTGAGCTCCAGGAGGACAGAGACTGTATACTTTGTGTGGAGTACAAAGCCCAGCACATGGCTGACTGACTGAATGAATGAATGAATGAAAGAGTCCCAAGAAGGAAAAGCTGTATGCATGAAGATATTCATGAAATAACAAATCACAGGAAAGAAGACAGAGGCTGATTAAGTAAATGATGACAGAGTCAAAAGATGGACAATCTGGAATCATTAATGACAGCAATACAGAAAGTGCCTGGGTTCTAAGGCTGAATGAAACAAAATTCTATCTACTCCAGGAAATGGAAGAATTACGTAAACATGGAAAAGGCCTGGAAGGAAGCGTGGGAAAAATATTTAAATCACTAGGGTGGTAAAATCCTAAGACCAATATGTGCTCCTGCCTCAAAATACTACAGGAACAGAAAGTGACCACATATGAGACCAAAAAAGAAATGTTAGCATATTCTAAAAAGCAGAAATCTTTGCAGGCACATACACTGACTATAAAGCAAGACACTGAATAGTAACAGTAACAACAACAAAAAAGATACCTTCCCCCCACCAAAACACATACAAAATTTTCTTTTCCCCACCTAGACATTTTAAATTTGGGGTCAAACGAAGAAATCAATATAGAAACCATGCGGTATCTAAAAGTGAAGGACAATGAGATTCTTCACTCCAATTCTCCCAGTGCCACCGCAGAGGAGGCATGAATGTGACTGTCTCCTGCATAGCACAGGGGATGCCCTGGCAATATCCGGCCCAGGCAGAGCAATGTCAGAAAACATGAGGTCACCAAGCCGGGCAGGACTCACTCAGAACGAACAGGTCACAGGGAAGTCCCTTAACAACCTTTCTGCCTCTCCATAAGCTATGTCACCACTTAACCTCACTCTTGTGGAATTTTGAAGCCACAGACTTTATAAATTAAGCTGAGAAATGTTGGAGAAAAAAAAATATATCACCTGCTACCCTGCAAAAAGAAAAGGTCGAGAAGTCTAGTTGTGATCAGCTCCATCAGTCGTCTCCAAAAGGAGCTGTGTGGAGCCACAACAACAAAGCCACACACTCCCCTCCACACCCTGGCTCGGCTCCCCGGGAAAACATGCTCCCCACGCGTCCCCCACTGCCGAGCACTGGGACCTGGAAACTGAACACCCTGGTGTCATTCTCCAAACACTACAAAGACAGACGTGCTTGCAAAATATAAAATTCAGTTGACCTTAAATATGTGGTCTTAAAATGTGTATCACTGATGGGATGTATATTTAGGGTCAGTACACTCTAGGTTGCATACACAAACAAAACCAACTTTTACTGGCAACACTAACCAAGACCTTTTTTTTTTAAACACGGCTATTTTTGTAGTAGATATAATTATAAAGTAATGAGATTGAGGGTTTTGGTGGTGTTTTTGCCCTTTTGGTCCTTCTCACCAATAAATCCTTCTGGCCTCATATATCTACTGGGTGCTGTCACTGAGAAGTTGTCACCATGGGAGACTACATACATATTCTGACAAAGTTGCCATTATTCCAGTGTTTTAATTTCCGTTTTGGAATTATCTTTAAGGCTCAGGCATGTCCATCAGGCATGCAATCTACTGACACTGCATGACAGGTACTACTAGTCAGGAAGCAGGCTCAGTAACAACCTCAAAAGTGGCAAACCTTTGCCCTTCGAGGATAAACTGCATTTGGGGGGCAAAACATCCTCGGTGCCACATTATTTGCAAAAAGTGGGTGGCCAGGTGAGGAAGACTTTGCAGCCAGGTGGGACCGACAGCTGCAGAACTGTGTGGGGTCAGCTGGGGTCTGGGCTACACCCAATGCCTCATGTCCTAGGAGACACTTCTCCACCTGAAACTTCTCCAAGTCGAGAACTGGTGGCAGCAAAACTTTTGGGACCCTTGCTGTGGCCTGACTGACAGTGGCCCAAGGCCATTCAGCTCTCCCCTCGGGACCAGCACGCTTCTCCGTGGGCACAGAGTCAGACTGCCCATGCCCCCAGTAATGCTCTTCCTACCTCATCATCTGGCCACCACCCCAGGTATGATGGGGAGAGTCACCTCCATTTAGGAACCAGCCTCCCATCCCCAGGGCCAGCCAGAAAGGGACACTGGGAAGAGAGCTCTGCCCTCCCTTCTGAGTGTCAGGACCCTCCTGCCTTAGGCATGGGGGGCACTGACTCTGGGCAGGCCCTCTTCCCCAGCGTGCTTGGGAGCCAGGGTCTGCTTTCCCACCTGACCCCACACTAGCTGTTGGGAACAGTGTTCCCTCACCTGGCCTCCATTATGTCCTGAGGCGGGCTATACAAATGATGGTGTGTGCATCCACGCACAGAGGGGGCAGGAAACAGCCTCTGTAGGTTACATGGAATAATGAAGTTCTAAGCGTGTATAAAGAGAAAGAGAAGTCGCAGCTGCCTGAAGGCAAGGGAGGGGAAAGATCTGAAACTGTTCTGAGCTATGGCGACACTGACGGGCTGAGACTTTCATTTTCCAAGGAAGCTTCTTAGAAACCTAGTAATTATCTGACTGGAAGTCCTGTGACACTTGTTTTTTTTAAAAAAAGGCACAGCTGCTCTGCTGTCATGCCAAATTAGCTCACTGAGGCTAGCAGCTCCAGAGTGACATCAACAGACAGGCTGTTAGCGGGTTTTGGATTTCTTGTCCCAATAACAGGGGCCCACGCCCTGCTCTTACTTTCAGTCGGTCCAGTTCCAGCTGGTCCCTGGCTGTGGGGAGGGCCACAGGAAAGCTGGGCATGGAGGTGGGAGAGGATGCGCTGCCCTCGCACTCGCTGAGCTGTCGGGAGAGCTTCATGATGACCTCGTCCTTGGCCTGGATGGTCTCCATCAGCATCCCCAGCTGCTCACTGAGCTCGCCCACCTTGCTCTTCAGCGTCCTTACTAGTGAGGCCCAGAATCTGGTCGTCCTTCTGGTGCAGAAGCCCCAGCGTGTCCTGTGGGACCCCCTCACAGAGGCGGCTGCTCGTGAAGTACTTGTCATACTGGGAGGACCGCACCGTCTGCTGCAGGAGCCGCACGAGCTCCTGGGAGCCAGGGAAGGTTGGAGCGGGGAGCAGGGGCGGGAGAAAAAGCAGAAATCATGGCAGCTCTGCATGGAGCAACCATCGGTATTTGAGCAAATGCAGAAACTTTACTGGAAATATTTTAATAACCAACTTCCTCTTGAAGGATCTCAAAAATAGAGAAGGAAAAATATTTATCCCATAAAGGCTGTCTGTAGAGAACAATAATAGGAAACAGGAAATAGTGGACAGGCAGACAGCAATTAGCAATGGCTCCCAGTAAACGTTCACCCGTATTAAAAAATCTGAGGTCTAAATTCACTGACCTGCTGAGGAATTAAGTATAATTAGGTGTGATCAGCTCAAAAGGAAGCTGCTGTTTTAACAGGATGTGGAAACTCATTTAACAACTGTTCATGGGCCTTGGGCTGAAGCTATGCTCAGAGAGATTTGACGTCAGGGCAGGCGTGGGCAAGGTGCAAACAACACCCTCCCCGACCCACTCTGAGGGGTCTTCACTCTCGTCGGAATTTCAAATGTCTATGAAAAAATGACCAAGCAGAACAGCAGTGCCTAGGTCAGTGGCCGTGGCAACTCTTAGGGGAAAAGCACCTTCTGGGAAATAATGGAGTCAGAGAAACATGAAAGCCGGGTTTTGCTCCTCTGGTCCGTGGCCTGCTGATGTGGGATGAGATAGAAATGTGAGGAAGAAAAATTACCTTCTGACTGGATAAGTCTTTCCTTAACCTTTCCAGCTCTTCCTGCTGGCTCTGGACCTGCAGCTGCATCTCGGAGGCCAACTTGCTGGTGCTACCACTGCCCGATGGCCCCTCGGCTGAAGGGTCACCACTACTGTGGCGATTTTTATACGATCCAATCATGTCTTTCAAAGGGCGTTTTCCTTTGTAGGGAATACGTCCAAAATCAAAGGGAAATCCTGAGCCAGTTACTCCTACATAAAAACAAAACGTTTAAGTTCAGGTCAAATTTTCCTTTCGGAAATTCCAGTAAAATACATTAACATTCCATCCATCATCCTCTAAGGAGTTCTGCATGCGTCACTCTCTGCTCCTACCTCATTCTTGATAATAACCAAGCTTAAAATCAAAGATGATCTTTCATGTGATCACTTTTAAAGAAAACTTTCTCTATTTGCACAATTTTTGCATTAAGACAGATGAAAAAAGTCAGACTATACATTAGTATTAATGAGGAATTTATGACAAAACTGTACTAAACTCTCTCAAGATTCTTTTGTAATGTTAAGTTTATTTTCCAAAAGATCAGTTCTAAGCCTACGTGTTCATATCACTATTTTCTTATTTCAGTTACTTTGAGGACCAAAGAGAAAAGAGACACAGACCAGGGAAGAACATGGTTGCTCCAAGTTCCTACAGCAACCTGAACACAAGGTGTCCCTTCCGCCGGGCACCTTAGTAAGGACAGGGCCTGCATCTACAAAGTTAGAGGGTAGGACTTAAGAGATACACTAGGGATCCCCAGCTGCTTATTTGTAGCTAATCTGTCCTTACTAAAAAAAAAAACCAAAAAAACCCCGAGTTTATGTTTTCTTAATTGTAAACACATTTTATTCTCTTCCTTAAAAACTAGTATTTAAAAATATTGAGGGACCCAAATAAATTTTAGTATAAATGGATTCAAATATATATTAAAAATATAAAGAGGAGAGTACATACTATATAGATTCCATTTATATAACTTTAGAAAACAGGCAAAACAATTCTATGATGTTAGGAGTCAGGACAGTGGTTTCAGGGGTGGGGGTGGGAGGTGAGGTAGTGACTAGAAGGGGTTTGGGGATAGAGGCTGTGACTCCTGGTACTGTCCTGTTTCTTCAAGTAAGTGCTGGCTACATGGATATGCTCACTTAGTGAAAATCCACTGAGCTATACATTTCTGATTGGGGGACTTTTCTGTGTGTATGAAGATTAGCTTACTTCCCATGAATGACATGGACAAGAAGCTGGCAGGCTGATTCTTGGAGCCGTTACAGGAAATATCCATGAATCATCAAGATAAAAATCCAGAGACATCCTTGTCCCTCCGTGTCTTCCACACAGGCTCCCTCTCAAAGGGATCAGGGGCTGGGCAGAGGCTGAGAAGGCTGCTCCCAGACAAGAAGCTGCTGTCCAGGGGTGTTGGGAGTTTCTTGCCCCACACGAGTCACTAAGCCTTACTGATTCTTCCTTCTCAATCTTGCTACCATTCACCCTTCCATTTCATTCTTAGAGTCTCTATGGGGAAGTCAGAGCCAACAATGTTTACCTCCAACAATCCAAATCCCCAACACAAATCCCTGTTCCTCAGAAGGCCTTCCCAGTTGACAATGAGCCCCTCTCCTGGGTGCCCCGCTGGCTGTGCCACGTGCTGGGTCATGAGGCACGTGACCCACATCTTCACCACGTCACACTGGACCTTAGGGTTCCATGCTACCATCCTGGGGATCACAAGTAAACTCCCCACCAAAGCAAGTCATGTGGTCCCTTCCCAGGGGACAGAAAAAAATATTACCTTCAGTAAATATGTGCTCTCAGTAAAGACTTCCTAAAATCCTGCCTCCTAATCCTGCCAGCTCGTGCCAGAATGAAGGATAAGGCAGAATTTCAAAATTATTTACTGTTATTTTACATTTAAAACATCAATATTCCCTCAACGGATCAATGGATGTAGGATCATGAAGGGCTGCTTAACGCATTAGGCAAAATGCCAATGGAGAGATGTATGAACGGGTCAGGCTGACACCCTAAATCCTGATTGACCTTAATATCACAAAAAGAGGGAAAACCAGATATGATGTGGTTCCAGATGTGATGCAACAAGAAATACACAGCATCCCTAGCCCCCAGCCCACCCCAAAATATTCTTGTCATAATTAAAAGTCAACCCTGAATCTGGGCAGGCCTCTACTCTAGCGACAAGTGTATAGGAAATACAGGGATGGAGGAGCATATTCTGTGACCCCGCAAAAACATAATTAACAAAATCCAGAATGTGGGCAATTCCTTGACATGTAGACCCTGTTTCTTCAACAGGCGTGGCAAGGGAAACGGAAGACAAAAAACAAACAGAGAGCTGTTCAGACTGAAAGAGACCCAAGAAGACACACAACTAAACACACTTGGGGGCCTGTTAGCCCCTCATTTGCTCATGTCAACTGCGAGCAGACATTTATGGAACAACTGGGGAAGTAGACAGGAAGGATTTACTGTAAGTGTTTTAGGTATAACGATGAAGCTCTGGTTCTTTTAAAGAGTCATCTCTTGGGGATACATACTAAAATGTTTACAGATGCAAAGGATTAATATCTAGAACTTCCTTTAAAATAACCCAGCTGGTGGTGGGTGTCAGGAGGGGCAGGAGCTCAGAGGAGATACAGAGGAAAAAAGAGAGGCCATAAGTTCAAAACTGTGGAATGTGACACTACAGCTTCTACTTGTGTGTGCATTAACAAATTTCTATAAATAAAAGGTTTTAGTTTTCTTTAAATCAGTATTTCTGTAAAGAGCACCATGACTTCCAGATCTTCTATCTCCTGAAAAAGTTGCAGAACCACAGGATTGGACAGTTATTTATTTCTTGTGACATCTCATTTTCAAGCCTTTAGGTTTTATTTCCCACAAAGAGAACACAACTCCCGTTGGGTCTCATGTTCCCAGTGATACCTGCTACCAAAGGGTCTCCCACATCACCAGTGGTTAACAGATGGCAGCGGAGAGAATGAAAGACAGCGGGAACCACATCCATACCTTTGTTTCCTTCAGGGATCTGCTTCTTCCTTTCTTCCTGTACCATGGACTCCTCCAGGTCCTTAGGGCTTGGCTCTAAAAGCTCCCACTCTTCACTGGTGTAAAACACACTCCTCCGACTGTCGTTATGCCCTCTCCCAGGACGAAAAGAAGACATTGAATTTCTATTGGGAAAAATGAAATGGTTTATCTTTTTTAAAATGGTAAAGCAAAACGTAATGTCACATACATACGCTTGGCAAAGACTGAACTCTGATAATAGCAAGTGTTGGTGAGGATATGGAGAAATGAGAACTCTCATACACTGCTGCTGGGAGTACAAATTGGAACTATTACCATGGAGAACAATTCAGCAACATACAGATAAGTTGAAAAAGTTCTTGCCCTAAGACCCAGCGACCCAGCATTTCTTACATTCTTCAACATGTGCACAAGGAGACACAAACAAGAACATCCACTGCAGCACTAGTCATATTAGCAAAAAACCCCAACAACCTAAACATCTATTGACAAGAGAACAGACAAATAAACTGTAGCATATTCATACGATCAAATACTATACATCACTTAAAGTGAATTCATTCATTCAACAAATATTAATTAAGTGCCTACAACGTGACAGGCACTGTTCTAAATGTTTGGGATATGCTAGTGAACAAATATTCCTGTCCTTGTGGAATGTACATTCTATCTAAAGCTACATGGATCATATGGGCAAATATTTTTTAAATGCTGAATAAGAAAAGACAGAAAATTGAAGAATAACATGTACAACATGATAATTGTTTAAATCTTCAAGATAATACTATTAATAGATATCATTTATAGATACACACATATGTAGTACAACTTAAAAATCCACACAAGAATGATAATTATCAAATACAGAACACTGGTTACTCCTGTGAAGGGCAAGAAAAGAATGGGATCATGGAGACAAGAAAGGATTTGAACCATATCTGTAACGTTTTAGTTTGTGTTTTAAAAAGTGCAGCAGAAATATGACAAAATTATATACTTTAGTAGTGGTTACCCAGGTAATCAATTTTCTATACTTTACACTTGCCTGTGTGCTAAAGTTATTTCATTAAAACTTTTCAAAACTAGGTTGGGATTTCTACTTCCAGTGAAGATGGACTAGGAGGGACTGGATTTACAGTCATCTGAAACAACTGAAAAACTGAACAAAATACAGGAAACAATGACTTTCAGATATTGGACATCAGGCTACACCGGGCAGTGATCCCTGAGAGGTGGAAAACAAACGAGGTAAGCCCCACCCCTGCCCAAGCTTACTGCCTAGACACTTTCCAGGCCATGGTACAGGCAGGGGGAACCAGGTGGAGCTCTCCCACGAACTGATAAGACAGCTGGGAATCCCAAGGCAGGTGGAGTTCACAGGGCACAGTACTGGAGAGGAGAGAGCTGTATGGAGGGCTGCAGAAACATCAGAGGGTTCCCAAGTCTCCAGATGAGTACTATCAGGCTTGTGTGTAAGAAAGCTATCCAAGAATGGGGAAAGAACCATCCCTCTGCTCACACAATAGTGTCTAGTCCCACCGGTCAGAGTGGAAAACCTCACACGTCATGGAGTATGGTAGACTGGTACTTGGAAAAAGGTAACTGACATTATCCCTAGACTAAAGCCTGCTCTCATACTACCTAAAAAAGCTTAAAAGTGAACTTCAAAAGTATCAAACTGTTTCTGAGTAATTAAACTACATCCCAGAGCAAAGCTTAAGAATATATGTACAGGAACACACACAGAAATCTAGCACCCAGAAAGGTAAAACTCATAATATCGGGCATGCAATAAAAAATTATCAGGCATGCAAGGAAGTAGGAAAATACAACTCATTCTAAGGAGAAAAATCACTAAACAGAAACAGACTCAGAAATGAAAATAATAAAATTAGTAGACAAGGATTTTAAAAGTTACTGTAACTGTTTCCCCATGTTTGAGAAGCTAGAAGAAAGACTGAACATGTTAAATAGAGATATGGAAGATGTGAGAAAAAGATCCAAATCAAAACTTCTAGAGATAGAGGAAAACATAGGCAGAACATTCTTTGACATAAATCACAGCAATATTTTTTAGATCCATCTCCTAGAGTAATGGAAACAAAAGCAAAAATAAACAAATGGTACCTAATTAAACTTAAAAGCTTTTACACAGCAAAGGAAACCAGAAACAAAATGAAAAGACAACTTACAGAATGGGAGAAAATATTTGCAAATGACACAACCAACAAAAGATTAACTTCCAAAATATACAAACAGTTTACACAGCTCAATATTTAAAAACAAAAAAACCCCAACACAATCAAAAGACTGGGCAGAAGACCTAAATAAGACATTTCTCCAAAGAAGACATACAGATGGCCAACAGGCACGTGAAAAGATGCTCAACATTGCTGATTATTAGAGCAAGGCAAATCAAAACTACAATGAGGTATCACCTCACACCAGTCAGAATGGCCATCGACAAAAAGTCTACAAACAATAAATGCTGGAGAGGGTGTGGAGAAAAGGGAACCCTCTTGCACTGCTGATGGGAATGTAAATTGGTAGAGCCACTATGGGGAACAGTATGCAGGTTCCTTCAAAGACTAAAAATAGAGTTACCATATGATCCAGCAATCCCCCTCCTGGGCATATATCCAGAAATGACGAAAACTCTAATTTGAAAAGATACATGCACCTCAATGTTCACTGCAGCACTATTTACAATAGCCAAGACATGGAAGCAACCTAAATGCCTGTCGACAGATGAATGGTTAAAGAAGAGGTGGTACATATATACAATGGAATATTACTCGGCCATAAAAAAGAATGAAACACTGCCATTTGCAGCAACATGTTTGGACCTAGAGATTATCATACTAACTGAAGTAAGTCAGGCAGAGAAAGACAAATATCATATGATATCATTTATATGTTGAACGGAAGAAACTGACACAAATGAACTTACCTATGAAATAGAAACAGACTCACAGACATAGAAGGCAAACTTATGGTAAGCAAATTTATGGTTACAAAGGGGGAAGGGGATGGGGAGCACTAAATTAGGAGTTTGGGATTAACGTATACACACTACTATTATAAAATTAACAACGAGGACCTACTATACAGCACAGGGAACTATATTCAATATCTTGTAATAACATATAATAGAAAAGAATCTGAAAAAGAATATATAACTGAATCACTCTGCTGTATACCTGAAACTAACATAACATTGTAAATCAACTATACTTCAATTAAAAATAACCTAGGGGGCTTCCCTGGTGGCGCAGTGGTTGAGAGTCCGCCTGCCAATGCAGGGGACACGGGTTTGTGCCCCGGTCTGGGAAGATCCCCCATGCCGCGGAGCGGCTGGGCCCGTGAGCCACGGCCGCAGAGCCTGCACATCTGGAGCCTGTGCTCCGTGACAGGAGAGGCCACAGCAGTGAGAGGCCCGAGTACCGCAAAAAAAAAAATAATAACCTAGGGATAAAACTACAATGTCTATGATGAAAATACACTAGATGGGATTAATAGCAGATGAGATATTGCAGAAGGAAAGATGAGTGAACTTGATGACAGTGCAATAGAAACTATCCAAAATAAAACAGAGAGAAGACGAAGGAAGAATCAACGAGCCATGGGGCAATGTTAAGCATGTAATAATGTGAACTGATGTTCAACAAGGGTACCAAGAAATTCAATGGGGAAAAGATAGTCTTTTCAAAAAGTGGTACTACAACTGGTTATCTGTATGGGAAAAAATGAACTTCAACCCTTACTTCACATAATACATAAAAATTAACTTAAAATATATAAATGAGTAAGAATTAAAACCATTAAGCTTCTGGAAGAAAACAGGGAAGAAAATATTTGTGACGTTGGGTTAAGCAAAGATTTCCTACACAGAACACAAAAAGCACAATCTGTAACAGATTAAAATGATAAAGGAACTTTATCAAGATTTAAAAGTTCTTCTTGGAAAAATATTTGCAAAACCTATATCTGACAAAAGGCTTGTATTCAGAAAATATAAAGCACTCTTACAACACTTACAACTCAATAATAAGAGAATAAACAATTCAATTTAAAAGTGGGTGAAGGACTTGAACAGTCATTTCTCCAAAGATATACAGATGGCCAACAAGTACATGAAAAGATACTCAACGTTATTAATTATCAGGCAAATGCAACTTAAAACCAAAATGAACCACATCCACCACAATGGCTAAAGTTAAAAACACCAGCAAGTGTCCAAGTGTACCAAGTGTCAGGAAGGATGTGGAGCAACTGCAACAGTCAGGTACTGCTAATGGGAACACAGAATGGGGCAGCCACCTGGAGGACAGTAGGGCAGTATGTTATCAAGTTGAATATACACTTAACTAAACAGCTCAGCAATCCCAATCCCACATATTTACCCAAAAGAAATGAAAACATGTCTACATGTAGGACTTGGATGTGAATGCTCAGAGCAAGCATTATTCATAACAGCCATGAACTGGATATCAACCAAAAATCTGTCAACTGGTGAATGGAAAACCAAACTGTGATATATCCATACTTGCTGCATACTATTAAGGAATAAAAAAGGAATGAGATATGAAAACACTCAACAAAATAAATGAGTCTCAAAAAGATGATGCTAAATGAAAGAAGACATACAAATACAGTATGATTCCATATATACGAAATTCTTAAACATTTCATGCAAAGGGGCATGAGGGAAACTTTAGGTGGTGGAAATGCTCTATATCTTGATTATGGAGGTGTTTACATGACTATGTATAATCTCTAAACTCCATCAGCCTGCACACCTAACATAGATAAATTATACTTCAGTAAGGTTATTAAAATAAAGAAACAGGGACTTCCCTGGTGGTGCAGTGGATAAGACTCTGCGCTCCCAGTGCAGGGAGCCCGGGTTCAATCCCTGGTCAGAGAACTAGATCCTGCATGCATGCCACAACTAAGAGTTTGCATGCCACAACGAAGGAGCCCATGAGCCGCAACTAAGGAGCCCACGTGCTGCAACTAAGGAGACCATAAGCCACCACTAAGGAGCCCACATGCTGCAACTAAGGAGCCGGCGAGCCACAACTAAGGAGCCCACATGCTGCAACTAAGACCCAGCGCAACCAAATAAACAAGGAAATATTTA